GCTTTTCACTGAAAATGTTCTAACATTAAAATGCCAGTGCACAGATCTCTATTGAGCAGAGTGTGTGGAGGCTCCTTTCTGGGGGAAGGATTGTCATCATGGGAGACCATCAATTAGACCACGGAGAGGAATGGCAATGAGGACTCAGACACCACCAGAGACTTTGCCAACCCCAGAGGATTTCACAAACGGTAAACAATTCTTGGTGCAATGCCAACAAAACAAAATTCTCTCTTGATTTGCATGGTAGTTATGTTCCTGGAAAAATCACTGCTCATTAAAGCTGCAAAAGAAATGGAACACAAGGCACCAGTTTTCATGCAAAGCAGGTCCAGTCCAAGGCTTGGGAAAGAAGACAGGAAAAGCAACGTTGTGAATCCCACAGGACGTGAGCAGCTCTTCCTCAGGCAGAGCTGCTGGGTCCTGGAGGCAAAAATGCCCAGCACGGTGGCAAGGGTGCTGTCAGGCAGATGCCAGGGGCTGAGGGTCAGGGAGCGCCTGGCCCCTGAGGAACTCACCACCACTGACACGGGGAGCCTGGCAGGGTGGCCAGCAGGCCTGCCGCCATAACCCCCGTGTCTGAGTACTTAGTACACACCGGACACATGTGCACCTGTGCACGTGCACACACACACACCTCACACCTGTGCATGTGCACACATGCACACAAGCTATGGATGATGAAGAAAAGCTGTCCCACGGAGGAGTGCAGCTCTGGACTATATTTCTTCCCCATGCTTGGTTTTAACACACCAAACAGAACATTATTGTAGAGTCTGTCCCATCACCTGCGTCTTGCCACTTGAAAAAAAGAGAAAAACGTTAGCATGCAGTGTTGAGCCGTCCTTAAAGCCAGACGTCACAGTGTGCACCATGTCAGCCTTTTCCAGAGATGATGAGTTGCAGGCCCCTGCCCCTGATCACACCAGCGAGGCGGAGGCTGCCAGGCGGAGTTGGAGAGAGGCCGCCTGCAGCGGCTCTGAGGCCCACAGGGCCTCCGGGACCAGCTGCCCTGGACGCAGGCTTCTCCACTGAGACAGAAGGGTTCAGCGTCCTTCCTCGGTGCGCTGCCGTCTTGAGACGTGTGCTTGGGATCGCTGCTTAGTTCTTGGTTCACGGCCCTTCTTGCATTGATTGTTTTCTGTCAAAAGCTGTGATATTAGCTCCTTAAATCAGAAACGGAAGCTACGAGCTGGCCTGGTTTGTTAATTTGCAGATGGCTGAAAAAAATCTTTACCTTGTTTTTTTCTTATGGAAACATGGTTTGATTCACAGAAATGTCACAAAAATGCCTCCTCTGGCGGCAGCGGGCCTCCCCTACCTGTCCCCTCCGACGTCCCGGGCTCCCTGGCCAGCCCCGCGGCGCCCGCCAGTTCTCACTGCTGGTCGTTTCCGGGTGCAGCCTCAGGTCTTGCCTCTGCTGGAGCCACACCACCCCTGTGAGCCGCCTCTTTCACGCGCTCACCCCAGGAATCGTTTCATTCTCTGCTCACCGTCTCTACTGAAACAGGACCGTTGAGAACTGTGACTGCTAAATTCAGAAAAACGCTTTTTGCCAGGCACAGTGGCTCATACTGTGGTCTCAGCCACACAAGAGGCAGAGGTCAGAAGAATTACAGTTCAGAGCCAATGCAAGCCGAGGGGGGGGGGTGGAGAAAGAGAGAGGGAGGGAGAGGGGGGGGGGAGAGGGAGGGAAGGGGAGGGCCTCATGATCTAGCTCCGCAGGAGTCATACCAGGACCATTGTGTCCTCAGCAGGTAAAGATGTAAGCCCCAATTCAAGGAAATAAAGTAAGAAGGATAGAAGCATGGCTTAGGAGGTAAGGGCTGCCACTCAAGCATGCTCCTCTGAGTTCAAACCTTAGTGTCACCTAAATAAAAAAGGTGTTTTCACAAAAGCAAAATGTGTCCCACTGAAGACAGCAGAAGGAAACAGCACAGAGGGGCCCCAGCCACCCCCCCCCGGAAACGGCCTCCCTCCACCCCTCCACCCCCCCCCCCAAAAACACCCTCCCTCCACCCCCTGGAAACGCCCTCCCTCCCCCCCCGGAAAACGCCCTCCCTGCACCTTTCCACCCCCCCCCCCCGAAAACACCCTCCCTCCACCCCCCGGAAACGCTCTCCCTCCATCCCCCGGAAAACGCCCCCCCTCCACCCCTCCATCCCCCCCGGAAACGCCCTCCCCTCCACCCCCTGGAAACGCCCTCCCTCCCCCCCTGGAAAACGCCCTCCCTGCACCTTTCCACTCCCCCCCCCCGGAAAACGCCCCCCCCTCCACCTCCCCCGGGAACACCCCCCCCCCCTCCACCCCCCCGGAAACGCCCTCCCTCCACCCCCCAGAAAATGCTCTCCCTCCACCCGAGCTGTCTTCACAGGACACGGCCCGCCCGCCCGCCCGCCCGCCCCAAGGCGCGTGAAGCGAGGTGTCCCGCACAGTGTGAATGTGTCCACAGGAGGCGTCAGGGCTGGGCAGGGCATGGCCGGGGCCGAGCTGCACTCTGGATGGCACGGGGGCTTTGCCAGAGGTGGAGGAGACGCCGCCTGGCACACAGATCCATCCCCTGTGACTCCCTGGCGGAGGAAGCCTGGCCGGCTGCTCCTGGCCTTCCCGCCCTATAGCTGTGAGCCCAGTGAACTTCAGCATAGAGGACGTGGCCTGCGGTGTCCAGTGATGACCCGAGAACCCAGACCAAGACACCCTCTCTGGAGCCTCTGCCCTTAGCTACACATCTTCTTCCTCTTACGTACCATCCCCTGCATGGTTGCCCTATCAGTCTGCCTACAAGGATAAGCTCCTGACCTGTTTTAATGTCTGACTAGCACAGAGTAGGTCATAAAGATTTCGGAAACAGTCAGCTGGAGGGGACTTGAGGACCCGTGCTGGCCCTGGGCCTGGCTGCCCTGGACAGTGGTAGAATTGAAGCCTCTGCCCAGCTGTGGGCTGTCTGAATAGAAGCACCGCAGTGGCAGGACGCGTCTGCCACCTCCCCCTGGGTGGGGAGCCGAGGGCACGCCTCCCGCGCCCCCTCCTGTGTGATTATCGAAGACGCCTTTCGCTGGAAGATACAGATAAGGAGCGTCAAGTGTCCAGAGCGGCCCCTTCTGCACTCATTACTCATCGTTTTTTCCCAGAGCTCAGACACACTTGCTGTCAGGAAGTGATGTCTCCCATGGAACCGAGGCGCTCGGCGGGCACACTGATGCCTATTTTCTCAATTAATAATTTGTTGAAGAGCCCTCTGCATGCACCAGACTCCAAACCATTCTGCCTGCCACTCCAGCCACTCTGCTATGCGGTCTGCAGCACCTTGGCTTTGACCAGGTCATTAATATTTCATAACGCCCTTTCCGCGTGGCTGTCCACCTCCAGCTCCAGAGTGTCTAGCTCAGTGACAGCATAAAGGTTTTAGGAGGGGCTGCAGTCGGCACCCAGCCCCTGGGGTGGGAGGTGCGGGGTCGGCACTCAGCCCCTGGGGTGGGAGGTGCGGGGTCGGCACCCAGCCCCTCGGGTGGGAGGTGCGGGGTCGGCACCCAGCCCCTGGGGTGGGAGGTGCGGGGTCGGCACCCAGCCCCTGGGGTGGGAGGTGCGGGGTCGGCACCCAGCCCCTCGGGTGGGAGGTGCGGGGTCGGCACCCAGCCCCTGGGGTGGGAGGTGCGGGGTCGGCACCCAGCCCCTGGGGTGGGAGGTGCGGGGTCGGCACCCAGCCCCTGGGGTGGGAGGTGCGGGGTGGGCACCAGGGGGCCATCTCCGCTCTCTGGTCTGCACCACGCCACACAGTGGGTTGCTTTACCCAACTGGAGGAAGTGCTGTGCATGTGGGAGGTGACCTGCAGACGTCACACCCAGCTCCGCTGTGTCCTCAGCTGTAAGTATCTCCCACCCCAGTCCCTGCCTGGGGGCCGGCGGTTATGTTGCTAAGCAGAGCACCTGACCGGGCCCCAAGCGCGGAGGGGTGATGAACGTGGTGAGGGCACCTGCCTTCTCTCGGCTCCCGCCCTGGCGGCCACACAGACACTCGAGTCTGCTGAGCCGCACACGGCAGGCCGCTTAGTGACTTCTGCCAAAAGCCCTGTGCTCACAGCCAACGTGGGGCTCCCTGTTGGAGGTGCTAGACCAGCAGGCTCTGGTCTGGACCAGCAGGCTCCAGTCTAGACCACTGGCTTCAGATGTTCTCAGGGCTGGAACAATAGCAGCATCGTTCTCAGGAGGAATAAACCTGAAACTCTGATTTAGGATGAGAGCACCAAGCCTGGAGACTTCCTCCTTCTGGGACTCCACCTCCTCCTTCCTGTCTCCAGTAGAGTGCCCCCTTCCCTGCCAGAAGCAGGCCAGGGTGGGCAGCGTGCGGGCTGTTTGCGAGTTCTCACGCCCGGTGTTCTGTTCTGTGGGTGTGGGTTTGGCTCATGGGGTCCACTCTGTCCACGTTGAGGAGCCTGAGTTCACAAAGCCACCCTTCAGTCCTGGAATACACTTGCCATCGCTGGCTTCGCGTGTGTCATAGAGAAGGCACCCGGGTCCCCTGCGTGGAAGATGGACAGGAGAATGTTGACCTGAGGACACACTGGAAGGCTGCTGTTGGGCAGGAGAGCGGCAGAGAGGCCTGCAGAGGCCGGCCACCACACTGCACGGGGCACAGGGACCCAGCTCCCGGCCTTCCGGAGGGGACAGGGCAGAGGCAGTACAGGTGATGGCATTTGGCACCCAGAATTAAGCCTCTGCTCTTTCATTAGCTTGAAAAGAAGGGATTGGTGGTAAGACCAGGGTCTTCTCGCCGCGTCCCTTTCTTCTCCAATTTTCTCAAATTTCCGTTTTCGACTTCCTTTTATACCAAAAGGAAATGTCTGAATGAGGGAATGCCCCCGGCTGCGGGGCATTTGTGCTGGCTCGTTCTTTCTTTTCCCATCGTGTTGTCACTTTTGCAGGAGGAGGAGCTGGCGCTTTTGCCCGGTGAGCTCGGCGCTGGAGGCGGCGCCGCGGCTGACTTGCTGTCTCTGCCTCCAGGTGCCCCAGGATGAGTGGGGGGGGTACCCCGCGGGCAGCGGCAAGGAAGAGGAGATCCCCTGCCGCAGGATGAGGAGCGGCAGCTACATCAAAGCCATGGGGGACGAGGAGAGTGCCGAGTCCGACTCCAGCCCCAAGACATCCCCGACGGCCGCGCTCCTCCCCGAGCCCCTGCTGAAGTCCATGGCCGCCCGGCCCCTCGGGGACCTGCAGAGGTAAGCCGCCCGCCCCGCCCCGCCTTCGCCCGCCCTGCGGGAGCCGCGTGCGGATCCTGCCAGCAGCCGTGCGCTGGGCCTCGGTTATCTGTTCACCCTGGCACGGCCCGCGAGGGCTGCAGGACGGGTCCTAGCGCTACACACCCGGGCCAAAGTCTGCTTTGCACATTTCCCCAGAGATGCCACTCCCTGCAGTGCAGATGAAACTGTGCGGGAAGTGAGGCTGTGGAGAGGCTCCGCGCAGCTGCGAACGGGGCGGGGCTGGGTCCACCCCGCTCCCCCGCCCGCAGTGGGGCGTGCGTGGCAGGCGGGTGGCGGCTCTGGGTGGCACAGCGGCCCGGCGCCGACGCCCCGCGGGGGCCGCCCTGTGGTGAAGCAGGATGTAGGAACTGTCTAATTAACCCTCTCCAGCAAGCGGTGTAAATGGGCCACTTCACTCTAGAGTTCATTTTATACTCGGGCTTTACACAAAACCCATCGATCGTCCTGAACGCGCTGTAAGGCGTGGCTGGGCGCGGCTGGGCGTGGCCGGGCTGGGCGTGGCCGGGCTGGGCGTGGCCGGGCGCGGCTGGGCGTGGCCGGGCTGGGCGTGGCCGGGCTGGGCGTGGCCGGGCGGGGCTGGGCGTGGCCGGGCGGGGCTGGGCGTGGCCGGGCTGGGCGTGGCCGGGCGGGGCTGGGCGGGGCCGGGCCGGGCGTGGCCGGGCCGGGCGCGGCTGGGCGTGGCCGGGCTGGGCGTGGCCGGGCCGGGCGTGGCCGGGCTGGGCGGGGCCGGGCCGGGCGGGGCCGGGCCGGGCGGGGCGGGGCGTGGCCGGGCTGGGCGGGGCCGGGCTGGACATGGCCGGGCGGGGCCGGGCCGGGCTGGGCGTGGCCGGGCCAGGTTGGGCATGGCCGGGCCGAGCTGGGCGTGGCTGGGCTGGGCGTGGCCGGGCTGGGCGTGGCCAGGCTGGGCATGGCCGGGCCGGGCTGGGTGTGGCTGGGCTGGGCGTGGCTGGGCGCGGCTGGGCTGGGCGTGGCTGGGCTAGGCGGGGCCGGGCGGGGCCGGGCTGGGCGGGGCCGGGCCGAGCTGGGCGTGGCTGGGCTGGGCGTGGCGGGGCTGGGCGGGGCCGGGCTGGGCGGGGCCGGGCTGGGCGGGGCCAGGTTGGGCATGGCCGGGCCGAGCTGGGCGTGGCTGGGCTGGGCATGGCCGGGCGTGGCTGGACCGGGCCCTGAGGCTGTGCCTATTTTCCCTCCTGAGAGCCCGCTGCAGATCAGGAAACAGGAAGGGGAGGGGCTGTGCCTACAGAATGCTGTGTGTCTGCGTCTTATAGTCGGCGGCCAGGCTGTGCAGCAGGACGGTGGCTGCACTACACCCCTCCTCCCACCAACTCCCCCACCCCCTCCCTGCCGGCCGAGGGGCTCCAGCCTGGTCATGGAAAACCTCTCTGTGTGAGGGCTACAGATATTCAGCTTCCAAGAGCTCAGGCTCTTAGACCAATGCCAGAATCTTTCTGCTGAAAGCTGCCTTCCCTCAGCCAGGGGAGGGAGGAGGGAGGGAGGGAGGGAGGGCGGGAGGGAGGAGGGAGGGAGGGCGGGAGGGAGGGCGGGAGCAGAGGAATGGGGGCAGATGGGGGGAGACCAGCCACCGGGACGTCCCAGACACAGTGTCAGAGCCTTTCAAAGCAGCTGCCTGTGTTCAGAAACCATCTAGGAAACGCCTCCAGACCTGTGCCCACAGGCCTCGGCTCACGGCGTTCCTGACGCCTGGTCTCTGTCCTGCCTTTGGCTGAGCCCTGCAGACCCTTCAGCCACTGCTTCTGGCAAATGTCCCACCACGTTCCTGAGTCTCACGTTCCTGAGTCACGGGCCTGTTCCCCTGTGGCCTGAGCCAAGACCTCAGAGGTGGTGCACAGAGGTGCCTTCCGCCCGCCCTGCAGCAGCCCCTCCTCCCAGCGGCCGGCCCTGCAGACCCTGGCCGGCTCCCAGGTCCCCTCCCTGTGGCCGGCTCCCAGGTGCCCCCTCCCTGTGGCCGGCTCCCAGGTGCCCCCTCCCTGTGGCCGGCTCCCAGGTGCCCCCTCCCTGTGGCCGGCTCCCAGGTCCTCTCCCTGTGGCCGGCTCCCAGGTGCCCCCTCCCTGTGGCCGGCTCCCAGGTGCCCCCTCCCTGTGGCCGGCTCCCAGGTCCCCTCTCCCTGTGCCCGGCTCCCAGGTCCCCTCCCTGTGGCCGGCTCCCAGGTCCTCTCCCTGTGCCCGGCTCCCAGGTCCCCTCCCTGTGGCCGGCTCCCAGGTCCCCTCCCTGTGGCCGGCTCCCAGGTCCCCTCTCCCTGTGGCCGGCTCCCAGGTCCCCTCCCTGTGGCCGGCTCCCAGGTGTCCTCTCCCTGTGGCCGGCTCCCAGGTGCCCTCTCCCTGTGGCCCGCTCCCAGGTGCCCTCTCCCTGTGGCCGGCTCCCAGGTCCCCTCTCCCTGTGGCCGGCTCCCAGGTCCCCTCTCCCTGTGGCCGGCTCCCAGGTGCCCTCTCCCTGTGGCCAGCTCCCTCACCCCCTGCTGCTCTGAGAAGCCACAGGCCAGGGTGACTTCCGCCTCAGCCCCCTGCAGACTCTGTGCTGATGCTGCACACACTCCCCACTCCACGAACACTGGGATGAATCTAGTCCTGACGGACCACCGGTCACAGTCAGCGCTGGCGAGCCGCACAAGTAAAGGTCTGTGACAGACACCTGTAAACCCACCGCCCTTACACACCCAACAAAACAAGCCACGACGCAGAAGGAGGCCAAAGCAGCCCACATCCACGCTGTGGCCGGGAAGGAGCCAGACGCCGGCCTTCCAGAGGCACCGCACACCTGAGCTGTGCACGTGTTCAGTTAATGGGAACCATATGCTCCCGGAGGGGGTCCTGCCCCGTGTGGGCAGGTGGTGTCTGTCAGGGGAGACGAGGTCGTGATCGGTGCCAGCCCGGGGGGGGGTCCCCTCCAGGAGCCAGGCAGGGCACCACGTCAGAGCAGGAGGTGGGCCCACTTGGCGTGTGTCCTCAGGCTCCCGCCGCCAAGCCGCGGCTCCACGCACGCCAGGTGCCACATTCCCGCATAGGCGGTTCGCACCGCGCTGGTGAGGGCATAGGGGTCACGTGCATGGCCGCGGTGGGCAGCAGTGGTTGTGTGCTAGGTGGTGGTGAGTGTCGTGCTGGGTGTGGCTCGGGTGGGTGTGGGCACGGGTGGTTGTGGCTGGGTGGGTGTGGCTGGGTGTGGCTCGGGTGGGTGTGGCTCGGGTGGGTGTGGCTCGGGTGGGTGTGGCTGGTTGTGGCTGGGTGGGTGTGGCTGGGTGTGGCTCGGGTGGGTGTGGCTCGGGTGGGTGTGGCTGGTTGTGGCTGGGTGGGTGTGGCTCGGGTGGGTGTGGCTGGTTGTGGCTGGGTGGGTGTGGCTGGGTGTGGCTCTGGTGGGTATGGCTCGGGTAGGTGTGGCTGGTTGTGGCTGGGTGGGTGTGGCTCGGGTGGGTGTGGGCACGGGTGGGTGTGGCTCTGGTGGGTGTGGCTGGGTGTGGCTGGGTGGGTGTGGCTCGGTGGGTGTGGCTCGGGTGGGTGTGGCTCGGGTGGGTGTGGCTCGGGTGGTGTGGCTGGTGTGCGCTCGGGTGGCCATGACATCTGTGGCCCTGTGGTAGGTTGCGTGGTGTGTGCATGTGTTCCAGTGGCGGCTTGTGTACGCGCCGTGGCTTCAGGAGTCTTAGGAAAGCCAGAGCTTCTCTGTGGTGCTGAGCATATTCATCAGGCTCTCCAGCGGAAACAAACGCAGCCGGACAGGATGTGTGTGCGCGTGCGTGCGCACGTGTGCATGTGTATGCATGCCTACACACCTGAGTACATGTAGGCGATTTCACGTGTGCGCTAGGGTCGACCTGAGACAGGAGACCGGAGTTTGATGTCTTGTCTTCTACGCCCTCTAGTATGTTTTAGTAGCCACACCTTGTGCAGAAGTGGATGATTCCTGTTGAAAATTGGCCACAGTTCAGATAGATTTGGGGTCAGTGGCCACTCCACAGACCATTCTGCCATCCTGGATTCCTGTGTGCCTTCTGTCTGTCCTTGCCGTAGGATGGGCGGGTACAGGCCCAGCCCTCTCCCCCCCCACCCCCACCCCCCCCACCCCGCGTCCTGGGCTTCCAGCGGCATGCACAGGGCTGCTGGGCCCAGGACACGCAGACATGTTTCCAGGGCCCACACTCCCCCTGCTGCCTGTCTGCCCTCTGCCACCCCACAGCACCCCGGGTCGCCATCGACAGAGACCGCACGGGTCCCACAGGGACCTCTGCCAGGACGCACGCTCCACTCTGGAGCTCACACCACAGTGTAAATAAACAGGAGCAAACGAGAAAGCCATAATTCACACTCACGCCCCACCATGCATCCTGAGGCAGCGCGCACGCACCTGGGCCAGGGCCACCTGGACCAGAGGACTGCTGCGGGAAGGAGGGCATCGGTGGGCCTCACCCCCAGCACCTCCCAGACCGGCCTCTGCTCATCCTCGGCACGCGCCGTCACCGAGGACAGCTGTGCAAGCTCCTGTCCTGCCTTCACGGTGGAGCGTCGCCGGCCCTCCCGTGTGAGCCACAGGGCCCTTGCCCTGCCGAGCCGGCGCCACGCTGCAGCGGCTTCCTGACCACAGGCCCCAGGCTGTCACTGACAGCCAGTTCACACCTGTCCTGACTCAAAAATACACCTGGCTCACACCTGTCATCCTAGCTACTCAGGAGGCTGAGCTCTGAGGATCACGATTCAAAGCCAGTCCGGGCAGGAAAGTCCATGAGACCCTTTTTTTTATTGTGAAAATACCATATGGAGGAGCTACAATTACATGAGCAACATAATGAGTACATTTCTTATCAAGCATTGTTGCCTCCTCTGTTTCCCCTTCCCATCCCTTCCCATCCCCCCTTTCCCCCATGAGACAGACTCTTACCTAGAATTAACCACCAGAAAACCGGAAGTGGTGCTATGGCTCAAGTGATAGAGCACTCACCTTGAGCTGAAGAGCTGAGGGACAGCACCCAAGCCCAGAGTTCAAGCCCCACAACCCGAAGAAAAAGAAATGCATCTAGCTATGCTACTCTTGCTGCTTGAAAGTCAACTGTCTGGCCACTTACCTTTAATTATGAAAGCTCAAAAAAGCCTTCACTCACTGCTTTTCCACCTCCTCAAACCAGTCTGTGAGTGATCCACCCAAAGTACACGCTCCTTCCTCTGGAAACGCGCCTCCTTCCTCTGGAAACGCACCTGCTTCCTCTGGAAACGCACCTGCTTCCTCTGGAAACGCACCTGCTTCCTCTGGAAACGCACCTCCTTCCTCTGGAAACGCACCTCCTTCCTCTGGAAACGCACCTGCTTCCTCTGGAAACGCACCTGCTTCCTCTGGAAATGCACCTGCTTCCTCTGGAAACGCACCTGCTTCCTCTGGAAACGCACCTGCTTCCTCTGGAAACGCACCTCCTTCCTCTGGAAACGCACCTCCTTCCTCTGGAAACGCACCTGCTTCCTCTCTGCCTCCTTCACACCACCCCCACTGTCCCTCCCAGGAAAGCTGCTCATTCTCCCTGCTGCTCCTCTCCATTCATGGTCTCCTGAAGCAACAGCATCAGTCTCAGAATCCGGCTGAGAAAGTCGAAGGGACACTTAGCAGCTCTGCCTAACAGTGGGAGCTCGTCAGCCCTCCCTCCCTGTTTCATTCCCCTATCAGGCATTTCTCAGTGCTGGTGTTCTCCGGTTTCTCCGTGTAGCAGTTATAACTTTGAGTTATGACTCAGAGCTGCTTTTTGTTTGGGGTCTTGTAACGTTCTTTGAGACAGTGCCTCACTCAATAGCCCAGTAGTTCCTTGAATCTCTCTCTCCTTCTGCTTCCCAAGTGCTGGGCAGGGAGTCAGCACCGGGGGCCTGGTAGCTACTCGTTATCTCCTGTGGCTTTCTTTCCTCCCTGATGGGTCAGACGTAAGGACAGCCTACACCCATGCCTTTTTATTAACCACAGTAATCATTGTGCTGTGACATTTGGTGGACATCGCTATCTGACTAGAGTATCTTCCTTGTTCTGTATAAAACACTGTTATTTTAGCTTCACATGCACACAGGGCTAGCGAATACTTGATTAGCTGCAGTCAAGAGCAGATGATAGATCTGCCTTTCTATTGATCCTTACATTTCTATTATGGACTACTCAAATTCCTTATTAAACTCAGCATTTATCATTAAGTGTCGCAGTTGTACATAGAATCTTTCTGAGAGTCACAGCAGCAAATGACTGCCTTCCACAGAGAGCCAATCTGGCAGTGAGACACCTAGAAAGTCGGTGACAGTTCCCTGAGCCCCTGGCAAACCTACCACCAGACTTGGGAGGTGGCGGGAGAGGGTCCCGATGTCCCTAGCCCTCATAGAGCCGCATGATATCAGGGGAAGAGATGGGGGAGAGAAGCGTATGTACCACCTGACTTCCCCCACAGGGCCACAGAAGGCCGGTTTCTCTGGACTAGAATGATCCACTCAGCACACTTCCCCCTGCTCACATTCCTACAGAGGGTGTGAACACCTTCTGTCTGTATCTAATGGCATTTGTTGATAGTTCTCTTCTCTGCAACAGCCTGTGTGATTTGAAGTTGCATTGTCCAGATGGCGAATGCTAGATGTAGTTGTTGGCCATCTGTACAAACCCTTCCCCTGCTTTCCACTGGACTGGTGTTGAGTTCCCTCCATGTCCAGATTTTAATCCATCATCAGAGGGATGCTTGGACAATGTGCACTCCTTTCTGCAGGCCACGGCTTCCCCTGTAGGCTGAGTTCCTGCTGAGTGGCATTTTAGTTTAATACAATCTCATTTGTCTCTCCTTTGCTTCTCATTTACAGGCATCACAGAAAAATAGCCTGCCACAAATGTCTTGAAGAGTTTTCTACATTTTTCCTTCTGGTTGTTTCTGTGTTCTAGGTTTCGGGTATGACTCTCTCACTCATTCTGGCTTGATTCTTCTGCAGGGTAAGAAAGTGGTACCCAGATTCCATCTTCTACATAGAAACTCAACAGAGAAATTATCACTATAGGGAAAAACCAACTGAAATTTCAAGAACAGAAAATATAGTATCTGAAAATTTACTACATGTGTTTAAGAGCAGATGGAGATAATAGGAAAGGGCTAGTAATTTGAAAACAAGTTAATAGACATGATCAAATCTGAAAAAAACACTGTAACTAAATATTGAAGAAGACACATGCCAAGCCAGCACAGTGTCCTGAGTTCAATGCCTGTAACGAAATGAAATGAGGACTGGAAGAAGAGAAGAGTTGACAGGCACAGGTCAGAACAACAGGGCAAAGACATTTTTAATTAAACAAGTTTTCATAAATTCAGTTTTAAAAAATCAGGCCAAAAATGCTCAAGGAAGGCTAAGCAGATAAGTTGGAAGAGTTGCCTGCCAAACTGCAGAGAGCCAGCGAGGAAGGCAAGCGAGGAAGCCCCAACACAGAGTCTGTGCATACAGGGATGAGTGTGATACGGCTGGTCTTAGAAGAAATGAGACCCAGAAGACAATGATCCCCCAACGCACCTATTGATCTAGAATTAGATCACCAACAGAAACTTACTGCAAATAAGAACTCGCAACCACACGCACCGAAAGCAAGAGAATGCTGGCAGAGCTGCCTCGCTCCCAGCCCCGGGAGGTGTTAGGACAACGATTATGAGAGGTGCAGACAGACATACACATGGCACGCTCATCAGAACACCCAATGGTGATAAATCTTTGCACACCTAATTCACGGCACTACATTAAACTGGAGTTGATGTCGACATTGGGAGGGAAAGCTCCCTCGGACCGCTGGAGCTGAGTTTGCGTTGTGGGTCCAAGCTGTGAGCTGTCCTGACCCCATGACCTGCCGTGAAGTCATGCTACACAGAGCTTCTGCAGACAGCCACCCCATCACATTTGATAAAATCCACATCTGTGGATGCACACCTCACAGTGTTTGTGCAAGACAAACTTGTCTGTCAGAGACCCAAGTTCCTGGGTGACCCTCTGAGCCTGGGTTTGAACTGTTGTGTCCTAGGGGTCAGGCAGAAAAGAGGGGAGCAAACTGCAGGCCTGCACACGATGTAGGCACCTGGAGACCTGAAAGACAAAGGAAAAAGGGAGGGAACTTGTGTTGAGCCAGAGTTGCAGGGAGAGGCGGGAGGCAGGACCACAGTGGATGTGGATGTGATCTCAGAGCCCAGGCACCTCGCACTCTCCGGAGGAGATGTGACGGGCGGTCCAGGAGGTGACCTCAGAGCCTGGGTCCTTTGCTGACTCAGTCAGATGATTGACAGTCAGGTGACTCCTGGCTTCAGGCAGGGGGAGAGGAAAAGGGAAGGCTGTTCTCCGGGGCAGACCTCCTGAGAACTCACACATTACCTTTGTGTCTCCTTCTTTGTAGCCAGAGCTACCTGCAAGCTGCAAGCGAGGTGCCCATCCCTCACAGCCTGGACCCCTCTGCCGGCTACAACTCCCCAAAGTTCCGCTCCAGGAACCAGAGCTACATGCGGGCCGTGAGCACCCTGAGTCAGGCCAGCTGCGTGAGCCAGGTGCGCCCTCACCCTCCTCTCCCTCCCCTCCCAGGGCCTCCGCGGCACCCTGCCAGCTGGGACTGTGGGCTCAGTTCCCAAGGTCAACTCCAAGCACCTCAGTCCTGAACCCATGGGAGGGAAGCCACCAGGCGCCCAGGACGCCCTCCCCGCAGGAGCACACCTGGGCCTCAGCTACACCACCAGGAAAACTCCGGGCCGAGGCCTGCTACTGGCCTTGGAAGTCAGTGCTGCATTTGAACAGCCTTCTCTCCACCCACAGATAAAGACTTCCTTCTAAGTTACCTCCCTTTTAGTCAAGGGAACTAGTTGGCCAAAATACTGCTTTTAAAAGCAGGTGTGGTCCCAGAGAGTATATACAGATACCAATACATGGGGAACTTTCCTCTTCCTTCTTCTCCTTCTTCTCTTTCCCTCTCCTCCCCCTTAGTGAAGTCAACATGGGATCTCCAAAAATAAGTCAGTAGAAATAACATCTTCACATGCCTGTCTCTATGGAGAGATGTAAATGATGGTGAAGTGGAAAAGCTGGGTGTATGGGGGTAGCGTTGAATTCTAGATTGTTTCTATTGCTGACTTCTGAGATGCGACTTGACTTTTAATTCTGACAAAGTCCGTATTCCTACATAATGTGGTCCTGGGGGTGCTAGCAGGCAGCTGTGACACAGCCATGCACACAGGGGTGACCTGCACACAGGGATGACCGTGCACACAGGGGTGACCTGCACACAGGGGTGACCATATGACTGTGCACACAGGGGTTACCATGCACACAGGGGTGACCTGCACACAGGGGTTACCATGCACACAGGGGTGACCTGCACACAGGGGTGACCTGCACACAGGGGTGACCTGCACACAGGGGTGACCTGCACACAGGGATGACCGTGCACACAGGGATGACCTGCACACGGGTGACCGTATGACTGTGCACACAGGGGTGACCTGCACACAGGGGTGACCTGCACACAGGGGTGACCTGCACACAGGGGTGACCTGCACACAAGGGTGACCGTGCACACAGGGATGACCTGCACACAGGGGTGACCTGCACACAGGGATGACCTGCACACAGGGGTGACCTGCACACAGGGTGACCGTATGACTGTGCACACAGGGGTGACCTGCACACAGGGGTGACCTGCACACAGGGGTGACCTGCACACAGAGGTGACCTGCACACAGGGGTGACCTGCACACAGGGGTGACCTGCACACAGGGATGACCTGCACACAGGGGTGACCTGCACACAGGGGTGAACGTGCACACAGGGATGACCTGCACACGGGGGTGACCTGCACACAGGGATGACCTGCACACAGGGATGACCGTGCACACAGGGATGACCTGCACACAGGGATGACCTGCACACAGGGGTGACCTGCACACAGGGGTGACCGTATGACTGTGCACACAGGGGTGACCTGCACACAGGGGTGACCTGCACACAGGGGTGACCGTGCACACAGGGGTGACCTGCACACAGGGGTGACTGTGCACACAGGGGTGACCTGCACACAGGGGTGACTGTGCACACAGGGGTGACCTGCACACAGGGATGACCTGCACACAGGGGTTACCATGCACACAGGGGTGACCTGCACACAGGGATGACCTGCACACAGGGGTGACCTGCACACAGGGGTAACCTGCACACAGGGGTGACCTGCACACAGGGGTGACCTGCACACAGGGATGACCTGCACACAGGGGTGACCTGCACACAGGGGTGACCTGCACACAGAGGTGACCTGCACACAGGGGTGACCTGCACACAGGGGTGACCTGCACACAGGGGTGACCTGCACACAGGGGTGACCTGCACACAGGGGTGACCTGCACACAGGGTGACCGTATGACTGTGCACACAGGGGTGACCTGCACACAGGGGTGACCTGCACACAGGGGTGACCTGCACACAGGGGTGTCTGTACACAGGGGTGACCGTATGACTGTGCACACAGGGGTGACCTGCACACAGGGGTGACCGTATGACTGTGCACACAGGGGTGACCTGCACACAGGGGTGACCGTATGACTGTGCACACAGGGATGACCTTGCACTGTGAGAACGCACACCAGGCTATGATAACCACTGGTGATTAGAATGCACATGTACTGCAGAGCATAAAGAACACTGTGATGGCCTGCCATGCTCTGAGGATGCACACCACGCTATGAATGTGCACAGCACAGTGTGAATGCACATACCACAGTGTGAGCTGCACACCACGCCACGCTGTGAATGTGCACACGCCACACCGTGAATGTGCACACGCCACACCGTGAATGTGCACACGCCACACCGTGAATGTGCACACCACACCGTGAATGTGCAGATCACACTGTGAATGTGCACACGCCACACTGTGAATGTGCACACGCCACACCGTGAATGTGCACATGCCACACTGTGAATGTGCACACGCCACACTGTGAATGTGCACACGCCACACCATGAATGTGCACACGCCACACTGTGAATGTGCACACCGCAGTGTGAATGTGCAGATCACACTGTGAATGTGCACACTACACCGTGAATGTGCAGATCACACTGTGAATGTGCACACTACACTGTGAATGTGCACACCACACTGTGATTGTGCACACCACACTGTGAATGTGCAGACCACACTGTGAATTGCAGATCACACTGTGAATGCGCACACCACACTGTGAATGTGCACACGCCACACTGCGAATGTGCACACCACACTGTGAATGTGCACACCACACTGTGAATGCGCACACCACACTGTGAATGTGCACATGCCACGCTGTGAATGTGCACACCACACTGTGAATGTGCGCTCCACGCTGTGAATGTGCACACCACACTGTGAATGTGCACGCCACGCTGTGAATGTGCACACCACACTGTGAATGTGCGCGCCACGCTGTGAATGTGCACACCACACTGTGAATGTGCGCGCCATGCTGTGAATGTGCACACCACACTGTGAATGTGCAGATCACACTGTGAATGTGCACACGCCACACTGTGAATGTGCAGATCACACTGTGAATGTGCACACGCCACACTGTGAATGTGCAGATCACACTGTGAATGTGCACACTACACTGTGATTGTGCACACCACACTGTGAATGTGCACACGCCATGCTGTGAATGTGCAGATCACACTGTGAATGTGCACGCACCACACTGTGAATGTGCACACCACACTGTGAATGTGCACACGCCACGCTGTGAATGTGCACACCACACTGTGAATGTGCACACGCCACGCTGTGAATGTGCACACCACGCTGTGAATGTGCACGCGCCACGCTGTGAATGTGCACACGCCACACTGTGAATGTGCACGCCACGCTGTGAATGTGCACACCACACTGTGAATGTGCACACGCCACGCTGTGAATGTGCAGATCACACTGTGAATGTGCACACGCCACGCTGTGAATGTGCACACCACACTGTGAATGTGCACACGCCACGCTGTGAATGTGCACACCACACTTGAATGTGCACACGCCACGCTGTGAAGATGCACACAACTTGTCAGTACGTATACCAAAAGGAAGCCCCTGTAAGAGTGCTCACGGCACACTGTAAACATGCATGCCACACTATAATGCAGATTGCGACCTTTCAGTGTCCACCATGACCTCTGACAGAGACCACAAAATAGCCCATGACTTTTTTTCATAATATTCCACTTAAGTGGATTTAGTTTGGAAAGATGTGCAGAAAATGTCCTGTTTTCAAGCCAGGATGAGTGTTGCTGGCATCACTGGGTGCAGAGGCTTCTCACCCGCAGATGTCTGCCTCTGCCAAACCATACTCCCTGCCCATCCACAGCGGGAGGTTCCGGAAGGCTGTGGCCTGTACGGCCAGCCCAGGATGGAATCTGTGCTCTTCCATCTACTTTGGTCACCAGCCCTACCCTACTGCCCGCTCTCTCTTCTCCCTGTCCAACGCAGAGCTGAGCTCCTTCCCAGTGTCACCCCCTTCTCCTCCTCTTCCTCCTCCCCTTCCTCCTCCTCCTCCTCCTCTTCCTCCTCCTTGTCCTCCTCCTCCTCCTCCTCATCGTCCTCCTCCTCTTCCTCCTCCTCGTCCTCCTCGTCCTCCTCCTCCTCCTCATCATCCTCCTCCTCTTCCTCCTCCTCGTCCTCCTCCTCATCCTCCTCCTCATCCTCCTCTTCTTCCTCATCCTCCTCTTCCTCTTCGTCCTCCTCCTCTTCCTCCTCCTCCTCATCCTCCTCCTCCTCCTCCTCCTCATCCTCCTCCTTGTCCTCCTCCTCATCCTCCTCCTCATCCTCCTCTTCTTCCTCATCCTCCTCTTCCTCTTCGTCCTCCTCCTCATCCTCCTCCTCGTCCTCCTTCTCATCCTCCTCCTCATCCTCCTCTTCTTCCTCATCCTCCTCTTCCTCTTCGTCCTCCTCCTCATCCTCCTCCTCGTCCTCCTCCTCCTCCTCCTCCTCCTCATCCTCCCCCTCGTCCTCCTCCTCATCCTCCTCCTCATCCTCCTCTTCTTCCTCATCCTCCTCTTCCTCTTCGTCCTCCTCCTCATCCTCCTCCTCGTCCTCCTCCTCATCCTCCTCCTCATCCTCCTCTTCTTCCTCATCCTCCTCTTCCTCTTCGTCCTCCTCCTCATCCTCCTCCTCGTCCTCCTCCTCCTCCTCCTCCTCATCCTCCTCCTCGTCCTCCTCCTCATCCTCCTCCTCCCCCTCCTCTTCTTCCTCATCCTCCTCTTCCTCTTCCTCCTCCTCCTCATCCTCCTCCTCGTCCTCCTCCTCCTCCTCCTCACCCTCCTCCTCGTCCTCCTCCTCATCCTCCTCCTCATCCTCCTCTTCTTCCTCATCCTCCTCTTCCTCTTCGTCCTCATCCTCCTCCTCGTCCTCTTCCTCTTCGTCCTCCTCCTCTTCCTCCTCCTTCTCCTCCTCCTCCTCCTCCTCTTCCTCCTCCTTCTCCTCCTCCTCGTCCTCCTCCTCATCCTCCTCCTCGTCCTCCTCCTCATCCTCCTCCTCGTCCTC